CAAATACATAGTCTTTTCGGCACTGATGGTCCCTGAGTGATTTATACCAATACCAATTTTTTACGCGTCTATTTTAAATGGGAAAGAAGGGTTCATACTTCAATGACGCACGCTACTCGCTTCACCTTGTAGCACCTGATCGTAACAATGGTATTTCTCATCCTCTAGTTCCAAAAGTGGCTACTGCATCGAATACTTTCAGAGCTGGAGTACTGGAACCTATTTGATTGAGCGATTACATGATTATTCATTGCAATCCCACATCGTGTATGAATTTATTTCATATTCGTAATGTTACATTTTTTTTTCAAAACTAATAATTTTATAGAGAGAGCCCAAAATGGGCTGGGAGACAAGGGTTCTCAGTAATGCCGCAACTACCCATCTTACATACCTCACAGCCGTACCAGCCGACTGAAAGAGAACATACAAACACGAGTATTTTCTGCGGGACATCCGTCAGTATCGGCATCGGTATCGGCAAGTGGTGACAGCATTTCATTTACATGGCGCTCTCATAAGATAAGTTGCTCTAGCTCGGAGGCATATAAGATGGGTAGTTGCAGCATAAACCTAGCAAAATGTGAGATCTGTCTCTTTACGAGAAAGACATAAGTTCACCTTAAAGAGGTCACATTATATTGCACTTCAAGTCTATTGAGTATCTTAGTATAATCCTCAATAAAAAACTCAGCTGGGGGACATATTTTGAAACCAAATGCGAGGCAAGCACAGGAGCAGGGCTCTTCTGTGACCACTCCAATAAATGCGTAAAAACATGAAAAGAGGCAAAGAGCAGACTATTGCGCGCAACATAATACGGTAATTAAAAGGTAGGTTACGGAGAGCTTGAAATTGTCTGCCGAGGGATGACCATAATTAGGAAAGCGAATTTTCTATAATTTCACATGTTGGTCGAGCCAGGATTCCAACTCTAGCCTTCCGAATGTCAGTACACAATGCGAGCCACTCGCTTACTGCGCCCGCCAATTATAAAAATATAATATAATAAATTATTTATTTAAAATGAAATTATTTTTAATAAATTTGTAGTAGAAAACGAAAGGAAGCGTGGAACAGAATTACGTTCCATCGCGCAGGGGAGGGATGGGTCACAGGAAAGGCTACGTTGGGATACATGAAAGGACGTTGGGCTCCTTGAAAGACTAAAATATGGTCAAGTTATTTATGGTGCGCGATTATTTGTGCAATACCAATAAAACATACTAGAAAACCACAGCCACGTGTGGCGGGGTTCACTTGCATACATGACATGGGCCATACATTTATATATGTATAGAACACCGCCGAATGCTGTGACGTAAATTTAACACATTTAAAAATTCAAAAAAAAAAAAAAAAAAAAAAAATGTAGGTTGCTTAAATTTTGTCACAAAGCTTTCGGTTAATATATGTATGCACATAAGTTTAGTAAATTTTGAAAATAAGAAAGCTAAAGCTACATTTACAATACTTCATGACGTATTCTCATAGCTAATTTGTGTGCATTCGCGCAAGCAGATTGTCAAGAACAAGAATTTTTGAAATTGATTTCTTTGCCAAATTCTTTTAGAAAATAAGTACTCGTTTTGTACATATTTATGTATGGCTGAGAAGATTTGCATTGTCTAGCACCTCGACTTATTTATATATTTCAAATTTGTATTTATACTCGATTTAATACGAATCTTCAGAGTCATATCAAATATATATATATATATATATGAACTTACACACACTGGTATGTACTGTGTGCATGCAAACCACAAACTCATTGAAAACGAGCATGACGGCGAATGCGGGAGACAAGTGCATTCACATTTGCCAACAACCGCCTTTCATCGCCCACACTTTGCCCCATAGAGTTCGTCTCGGACAGTCGTCAGTCTGTTGTTTTATGCATCAATTGGCCAAACTATAAACAACCACTACTTCCCAGTGCATTGCATCGTAGTTGACGTGGTGGAAGGGAAATATTGTGCTGGCGACGTTGCTAGGGCTGCGATTGTTTGGTTTTATGTACCGAACTTGAACTTGATTTAAATTGTAAACGCTCGCACGGCAACTGCATAGCTGCCAAAGAATTGGGGAGGCAAAAAAAAAAAAATAAAATTGTTGACAAGTTGCGGTTACAGCCAAAGAAAAAATAAATGTAAAATGTGAAAAATTTTAAGGAAAGAAAATTAGAAAATATTATGATGTCTATAGAAAGGAGGGCCGAAAAAAGCCGAACGCGTTGTCATACCAAAGGACAGGGCTCGAGTTATGGTTCGACCAACATCCAAATTCTTAGAAAATTAATATTTCTAATTGCAGTCGCCTCTCGGCAAGGAATGCCAATAAAAATAAATAAAAGCTGCTCATAAAAATCCATCGTCAGAAGATGCATCTGCATCTATTTTTTTCCAGCTACAGAGAGATTAATGCAGGCAAACATATGTACACACCCCCTGTGTATGCTTTCCTGATTGTGTAATAGAAGGAAAAGGTGTTTTGCACTTACTTAATAAAAGCATAGACGGCACAAAGGTACATAAGACGCTGAGGTCCGCGCAAAAGAAAAGATGAATTCTGAATTTTGAACTTTCGCCAGTTGGGTACATTCGATTATGGAAATTGATACACGATTTTTGTTGTTGGTACACGTATTTTCATCATTCAATTTGGACTAGTAGTTTGTTATTGACAACTGAAAAGGTAGCCACGTTTTTGTGTTCTCTTCGATTTTTGACTTTTGAAAAAATGAGTATCACTCTGAAGAGAGAGCATACAAAAACGGGACCACTTTGTCAACAACTAATCCAAATTAGCTAATAATGCCAACATACGATATACATATGTGGCAAAAAAAAAAAATTCCTTAATCGAATCTACATAGCGCATGAAAATCGAAAATCAAGTCAAACAGACCTGGAATAAGGTTCAAAGAGTGCTAGCTTCAACCCGCCACTTAGTATGGTATGATGTGAATATCTGATGGTCCAATACTGAAACTAAACAACGTAATTACCCTCAAGCTAGTAAAGCTCAATACTTTGGCGTCCACACAGATAGGCGACTGATTTGGACGAGCCATAAATCGGCTAAAATACAGCACCTAAAACTTAAAACCAGCAGCCTAAATTGTTTTTTGGTTAAACATTCAAGTTTACGCTTGAATAATAAAATCCTCATATATAATTCTCATAATATGAATGTAGGTAATACAATTACGGAGCTCTGCCTGCATACTTAGTTTACCGCCAAGCTCTTCCTCCAATTTGTGGTGTTTATCCAACAAATAGAGGGATCACTCGGCTACCGCGGCCATTAACTAATAACGATAAAGAACAACGATAACAATCAAACCTCGCAGTTGTACCGTGGTATAAGCTCAACAAAAATACAATGGTAAACACCGTAAACACCGAAGTAGCAAATACCAGTCGAAACTACAAAATCATGCGAGTCCTCTAGGGAACGTTTTATCACGTCCATATTCCAGCCGAACACGCCATTAAAGAAGAGAAGGAAGAAGAGAGGAAGAACTTTTTACCTGACGTCCATTACTATTAGTGGTCTAAAGCAGAAAATCATTAGATAGTAAGATTCTAAAACTTATTGTTAGGATCAAACTAATCAGAACCACTAAAAAAATTATTTTTCTCCAACTATAGCCTTCCGAAGTCTGTAAGTCAATCGTGACTAGAGCAAGGGGCCGGTGAAAGTTTCCTCTACAAAGGATGGCCGAACCTGGAAGTAGCGAAGGAAGCAATCAAAATCAAATATAGTCAGTTCGTCATTTGTTGTTGTTAGTTTTCGAGACAGTGTTTGGTCAATAATATATATAAAGACCCGACTCTTCCTTACGGCAGGCATGTCTTACCACGGGTAAATTCTTGAGCCCCTAACCCGCAGGAGTTCCTTTCTTTTTCTTCGTTGTTTAGCACCAGTTGGAAGTACAAAGTGAAATCAGTTCACTCTCAACCTGAAAATTCCCATGGAGTGGAGATCTTCCCCTGCATCGAATACTTTCAAAGCTGTAGCACCAGTGTAACCTCTGTCTCTTCATTCGCTAAACTATATCAATATCATGGTATAAGTCGTACAGATCATCATTCTTTCGTATGTGATATTCTTCGTAGTCAATTCGTAAAGACCACAAACCGTTCGCAAAACTCATTTCTCGAATACCTCCAGTGTTCGTCTTCGGATGTTGACATCGTCCGTGCTTCTGCACCATAAAGATAGCAGGACGGGTATGATGAGCGACTTGTAGATTTTGGCTTTGGTTCGTCGAGATAGGGCTAGTGTTACTGCTGGTCTCTAAATAGACGAAGTTATCTTATACCTCGAAATTATGACTGTCTGCAGTGACGTGGGAGCAAGGGTTAAATGTTTCGACTGTTTGTTCGAGCATGAAGAAGGCAGAAGTAGTGACGCGGTTAATGTATATGATATCGAATGGTGTTTGTTTTCAGGAATACCAAACTCAGACAGCGACATAGAGCAGCTCTTTTTCATGCTGTCGTAGGCAGCTTTAAAATCGATTAAAAGTTTCTGTGTTTCCATTCCAATCTCACGGGTCTTTTCCGAGAATTGACGCATTGTGAATATCTGGTCGATGGTGGACTTACAAAGCTTAAAGCTTGTTGTCAGTGAGCTTTAGTCTTTCGCACAATACGCTCGATGGATCACATGATCAAAGAAGTATCTTTCTAATAACCTCAATCAACCAAGTTGATAGTTGGCTTACAATCAACAAATAGAAATTGTACTAACACATTTTCCGTGGGCTCGTGCATTGTTTGACCGCCAAAAGTTTCTTGCATTACATTTTTGGATTTCTTTTATGAGTTTCGTCTGCAAACATACTCGTACAAAAGTACATTTGTTAGTATGAACGTACATCAGTTTTTGTTTATTTTTTATTCGATTTTTTGATGTTTCTTCCTTATATCTGAGTTCGCATTGCGAAAATGTAACCAAAGAGAATAGGAAGGTTGTTAATCTGTTTCCCTTTTAGTGTTCGTGGGTACTTTGCACAGCAACCATTTCTTATAATCTCAGCCCATTTCGGTGGCTCGTGATCGGTTACCAGTTTGCCCTTTGTTCAATTTACAATATTTTTACCACATGCATATATTAGCACATTACGAAACCATTACGATTTTGAAGTGATTTCAATTTTATTATTATTATATGCCTATTGGAGTGTTAAATTGAATACATAAGTACATCTGCAAGCGTTACATAAAAAGTTATAAATATTAAAAAATAATTATATTTTTTTTTTTACAAAAAGTGAATTAATTTTAAATCGAAGATTTCTCTGATGCAAATACAAAACAATAAACAAAATAAAAATGAATTTCATTCATCCGGAACTGGTAGCAAGGATGAATACGTCTGATATTTCCGATCATAACGGCAACTCCAATACTGTTGTGACGTCACACACATCAGCCACCGCAGATTCAACGAACGTCACAAACCTGTTGGCTAACAACAATGTTGATGGCGGCAAAAGTTGTGACGATGCAGGTGTTCCGGAAACAACGGTTGCCTCGGATGATTCGCCGCAACGTACGAAATCCGAAAAGTTTGAAATTAAAATTGTGCTCGTCAAAGTGCAGGTGATTCGTTAAACATTATTGCATATTCATATATATTAGTCAATGTGAATGAAAAGTGCTTTCCCATGCAAATTTCATTAGTCAATAAATTTTGCCTATTTATAGATATTTAACATGCCTGAACACATAATTATTTTATGAATTATAAAATGTTTAGTAGAAATATATTTGTGTGGTCTTTAATACGCAGGTACATTAGTTGGCGCCTTGCCGTCTACGGCTAAATACAAAATTAATAATGGCGAATTTTTCAATAGAAAAAATCATTCATATTTTTAATAATTGACTTATCACCTTACACATTTGATATAATAGACTTTTTCATCTTCTAAGAGGAACATCGTGTGTTCGTTTGAAATTATTTCAAAATTTTTTTTTTACAAAAAAAGAGCAAAAAAAAAAAAAATACACAGATTTTACAAACAATTTAAATGTTTTTATTACCGTAGAAACCTTTATAAAACGTCTGTTCACGAAAGTAAAAGCACTTCAATAATATTTGAACCGTTTCAGTCAGGGGCAAACACATTAGGCCATTAAAAAGAATGAGAACCTACATTTTATACTAAACCGCTCTCGAACGGAAGGGTTTTTTTATGAGGATCCATTACTTAATGCCATGAGGATCCTTCTTTTCATGCAAGGAGCAACTGCAATTCAAAATATTAACTTCATTTAACTTTTTATTGAATTACAATTTTTTGATTTAATGAATTTTCTGGATGTTGGTCGGCCAATTACTCGAACTATGGCCTTGCGAGTGGCAGTCCGGAATGCTAACCACTCGGCTTTAGCCAATTGTGGACAAATTGAGCACTTAGCCGTTTTAAGAATTGGATACCATAATTCCTGTGAAAGTGAATCTCGTTGCTCGTTTTGGTAATTCACAAGCAGCTGTCGTAGAAATTTACCTCTCAATTCGAAGTGAGATATAATTTTTCAAGGTATTATCAGATGATCGTTAAAAATGTTTTAATTAATAATTAATTTAAAGATGTTTACATGCGTACACGTATTCTACAGATATCAGAAAATTTGAAGAATATTGAAACGATGTAATTCCTTTACTTTTCATTTCATTCACAGCAGAGTACTCAATTCAATTCACAAAAATTTGTGTAGCTATAAAAGCATGAGATCACATAACTCAATTCGAATCCATGAGGAAATTTCTGAATGTGACTATAATAAAAATTAATAATTGACGTTTCCAAAAAAAAAAAAAAAAAAAAAAAAAAAAAAAAAAAAACCAAAAACATATTTACGCTGATGTTTTCTTTCATGGATTTTGCATTATAAATTGGAATTTAAATAATTTTCTCAATAAATTTTTATAGAAGTGCCAATTATATATTATAAAGGAGGGCATGCAAAATATTGAATCTAATATTGGTTGTTATTTGCGATCTCTCAACTTAACATAAACACTTTATGAAAATGGTCCAAACCGGACAAGATCAGTTTAAATATTAGGTTGAATTATTTGAATGGACTCGAAATTTGTAGAAAATAGATGGCAGTATCCGATTAGTTTTTTGATTTAAGAACAAAAAATTAAGACGTTTTGCCAACACGAGTGCGTCTAATATAACCCATTAGCCAAGTAAACATCATTTCATGAATGTAAAGTTCAAGCAAATCGAACCACAAATACGACATGTCCACTAGCAAAAAAAAAGAATTTCAAGCAAATACTATTTTTAAGGAGCATTTTCTGCATGTTAATCTGAAGGATAAGCTATCGATCCATTTGATTTCAAAAAATTGTATCATAAATAATGTTACATACATATTATTTCGTATTAATCGGTTTCCCAGTGTGCAACATACTCATACTACCCGATATCCACTCAATATTTCATAAAAATCGGTCCAGCCGTTTCAGAAGAGTTTGGTTACAAACATTGCAAAAAGAAAATTTTATATATATATATATATATTATTCATTTATATCAACCCACAACCTGAGACCTGTAACCTGGAGATTGTGTTCTACGTATGACGTAGACATCCGTTAAGAAAGAACTTTGCGGGAAGTAGATCTAGGGCCTACCTAGTAAAAAAAAAAACGAGTTTATCGTTTAAATCGTTCGATTTAAATGAAATTTGGTTCAGAGATACCTCTGTGCTGAAATTACTATTGGGAACAATTATTTTTTCGTGAAGTTGACCTGGAATCAAACTATGCTGAAAATTCATAGCCATTCGATTTAGGCTTGTGAAACAGATGGAAAACTTTTTATGTGGGAAGTGTGCTATAAATAAAAAATATGAATTTAGTTCAATTTTGCTAATATTTCGAATTTGATTTACTAGAAATTTGAAATATAGATAACATTTTTTCTAAAATGGGAGAACTATTAATTCCGGAACCAATCTATTCGAAAAAATATATTTTTGCTACAATTTGCTTGAAATCTTCATGCTTTAAAAAATGTCAATTAACTAAGAGCATGTGGGAACAATTGTGCAGCTAATATAAATGGTTTTTTCAAAAGAGGCGCTATTTTCATTTTCAAGGAAACTTTTCCCTTAAAAGATCGATGGTTTTGGTGCTTTTGTGGCACGTGGCGTCGTCTAGTTGAAATCAAAAGTCGTCCAGATCAATAACATCCTATAACGGCTTTAAAAAATATTAATAATATCTCTCGGTGGCGTAATACATTCATTTTCGAAAAAGCAAGGTCCAATGACCCCGCCGGACCATAAACCCCACCAAACAGTTACATACATATTGAGGATGTAGAGGATTTTTAACAATAAATCATGCATTTTCCTAGCCCCAAATTCGACAATTTTGCTTATTGATGTAGCCATCGACGTGGAAATGGGCCTCATCAGTGGAGAAGAGTTTTCGTTGAATTTTTTATAGTGAGTTTCAATAATTCCAATGCGTTCTTGAAGCGTGTATCGTTCTATTTTTATTACTGGCGCAGTTTTTAATTACCAAATATTAAACAAGTGACATCTACCGGAATTGAGGCTATTTTCAATAACACCTACTGTAGAGAAACCTTTTATTTGTATAATAATCCTTTTGAACGGAATCGATAATTTGTGTAAATTATTTTTAAAGTATTTGCGTTTTTATTTTAGTAAAAAAAAAAATAGAGCGGTCATTGGCTGGAGGTACAAATGGATATATAAACTGATTTTTTTTACATATTTGTAATTCAATATTATTTGCAAAGAAATACAGCGATAGATATGGTACTTTGATATATCACTAAACCAAAAGCAGAGCTGAGTTTCCATAAAATAAGGCATTATCTTTTTATTTCATTTTTTTTTAATTTTCAGTCCCTACTATGTTATAATGGTTGTTATATTTTACAGGTATTGAAAAAGCTTTAACAAATGATTAGGTCATAATAGGAAAAATACTATAAAAACAACTAAAAAAATAATTAAAACTATTTTTAAAATTCATGCGGACGAAATCGGCTAAAAACTAGTTAGATATAAAGGCAATAGATTTTTCTATTTTATCTCACTCAAAAGATCGAGTGACTGAAAAAGTTTGTCAGAAGGTCTGAACACATGTGTACGGAACGAACCCTCTGCATATTGAGTAATATATTCTGCAAATAGCATTCTAATTAGAAAAGCATTAATGTATCTATATATATGTATATATATGTACTTTTGTACGAGGTAGAGAGAAAGAGATAAAATTTCGTAGTAGAAGATTTTCTAGCAATAATTTGCTTATTCACATTTGCCTTTCCCTTTTGTTTGCAAATTTATAATGTTCATTATATCTTAATATTGTATCTTAATATTTAATAATATATATTATATATATAATTATATTGTACCAAATACCACACAGCACGCTCAACAATGGACTTATTGAGAGGCGAGTTCGGTGAACATTTTATTTCACGTTCGGTTAATTGACAGCCTAGATCGTGCGATTTAACACCTTTAGGCTATTTTGCTGGGTTTATGTTGAATCTAATGTCTCAACAGACAAGTCCGCTTCACAACACTAAAGCATTCATTCGTGAGATAACGGCCGAAATGTGGGAAAGAGTATGCCATAATTGGTCTTAGCGAATGGACCATTTGAGGCGGAGTAACGGTCAACATTTGCATGAAATAATCTTCAAACATTAAATTATATGGACCGTATTGTCGACTCAAATAAAGATTTCATGCATTTTTCTGAATTTAAGGTCTTTTTTTTAACTTTGCTTTAGCTCTTAAATCTTAATCACCTTTATATAGGCGGCCGCAATAGTCAAAAGGTTAGCATTAGAAAGTGCCATTCTGAAGGCTGGGGTTCGAGTCTGGTTCAACCACCAACCAAAATTATATATATATAATATATAATATATATATATTTAAATTAATTTTCTATAACTTTTGGATGTTGGTCGCCCGGGGATTTGAACTCAGCTACTGCCACCGCAGATAAGGGTAGATTATATTGCAAGAAAGGCAGAAAAGTGAACATGTTTAGATTGCATATATCTATGTTCGTATGTATTTGCTTAGCTGGCGTTGATAAATAGCGAGATCTTTTATACATGTTTTTATTGCATTGTTTATTACAACGAATTTGTTTGAACAGCAAAATTGAGAGTCTAAAGAAAAAATCAGGCTTGGAAAATGTTTAGAAGAACTTAACAGGCTATTGCAAGCTCTCGTGACTTTAATGGTGTATCATTTATTGTGCACTGAAGTCAAGTCCTTTACCATAAAGCTCAGTTAATTCATAAATATTCCAAGTGATTATTACGATATTTTACAATAGTGATGGGCGGGGAAATAATATTTCCGTATATATTCGCTTTTGTACCTTTCCTTATCCTTAGTTCAAAAGTCAATGCAAGGTAAATATGTGAAGACCGGGCTTTTCACCCAAAAATGAATATTATATATATATTTTTGTGTTTATATAAGAGCATCATTGCCTATTGTAAATGTGAGTTTACCAGGTCTTATGTTTATATACTGAATGGTTTTCTGAGCTGTCGTAAAAGTATGTACATAGG